GGGGGGCCGGCGGGGGAGGGGACTGGGCATGATGGGGGCCAGGTGAGAGCGTGGGCATGATGGGGGAGGGGACTGGGCACGATGGGCTTCCTGCTGAGCAGGGAGAGCAGAGCCAGGAGGAGCTCACACCCAACATACACTCAGGTGTCACCGTCCACAGGCCGTTCTGTACAGCACACGGCACCCCCCCCTCATCACACCACGACCCATGCGGCCCAGCCTCAGGTTGAAATCCTCACCGGCATTTCTCCTTTCATTTCTCCAACACCAGCTGGGACACAGGGGCCTCAACGCTTCTTAAAATCCCCTTTCTTCTCCCAGACCTCCCGCCACCCCGAGGCTGCTCCCAAACTTCTTTCAAAGACCCCCTGCCTCCCTGTTCCCCAGGTGTCTCTTCCCCTCCCCCTGCACCTGCTGTGGCCTCCAGGTCCCGAGGTGGGGATGGCTGGCAGAGCTCGGGGTAACGCTGGAGTCCTCTGGAGCCACAGGAAGAGGCCTGGGCACTCACTGGGTGGTCATTTTTCCTCATCGGTGAATTAGGGGGTCACTCTTATGCTTTCCCCCCTGCCCCACCACCACACTCATATACTTTATATCCCTTGGTTCCCACTGGGCGTGCCCTCTGTCTTTCGGTCTTCTTTACACCGATGTCTACACCTCGTGCCACAAGTTTTCGCGCACACCCCACTCACCCTGTACCTGCACCACGTTCTGTGGCACTCGCACATGTGCACGCGCCCCACCACGGGACTGGCTGAGTGGCCGCTGGGTCTCCCCACAGTGCTGAAGCTGCTGAAGATGGCCACGGGCATGCGGGCCCTGCTGGACACGGTGGTGCAGGCTCTGCCCCAGGTAAGAGCCGCCTCCCCCGGCGGCCCCTCCTGCCTGTTGTTGGTGCCAGGCTGGGCCCTGGGGGGCGAGCCCCGACTCCCCTTCTCCCAAAATCCGCCCAGAGCCAGCGCAGAACCTTGTCTCCAGAGAAGCAGTGTGAGCTGGGACTGTGGGAGAGGGAGCAGGTGTCTTGCCTCTTTCTTGCTGATGTCACCAAGTACGCGCCAACCCCGCTCCTTATCGGGCCCTGGGCTGGCCCCTGGGGACCCACATTCCGCCCTCAGGGGTCAGCGGGCTGGTAGGGGAGACAGATGCTGCAGGGCAGTGTGGCCAGGGGCCTGCACTGTGCTGGGGAGAAGGAAGGAGCCCTGACACAGACGGGAAATCAGGGAAGGTGTCGGAGGACTTTGAACTTGACCTTGTAGGGTGGCTTGGCAGAAGGAGGTGGTGATGTGGACAGAGAGGTTCTGTTTTGAGATTCTAGAAGGGGACAGCCTGAGACCCTGGTATGGGTACAGATCCTAGGAAATTATCCCATTGGTCAGTGGGAGGGACATAGGGTCAGGGCCACAGAGGGGTCATCTTTGATCCTCCCGGGAAGTCTGAGATTCCAGTCTCTCCCTCCCCCGCTGTCCTGACTACTTGAGGCTCCCCTTCTCCCTCCCCCCAGGGTGGCCTCTGCTCTGAGGTGTGCCTCACGCACACTCGTTTATTCGTTATGACTCATCTAGTCTTAAGGAACTTCAAGTATCCTATATAACAAAAAGCTAATATGCAAATCGACCGAATGGTGAATCGACCGGTCGCTATGACGTGCACTGACCACCAGGGAGCAGACACTCAATGCAGGAGGAGCGCCACTCAGCCAGAAGCCGGGCCCACTGCTGGCAAGTGCAACGGCGGTGGTGGGAGCCTCTCCCACCTCCATGGCAGCGCTAAGGATGTCCGACTGATGGCTTAGGCCTGAGGGCTCCTGGACTGTGAGAGGGCACAGGCCAGGCTGAGGGACCAACCCTCCCCCCACCCCCCAAGTGCATGAATCTGGTGCACCGGGCCTCTAGTCTTAAAATAAAAGGCACAGACACAGCACACTGCACATGAGGATAAAAGACGAACAGCTCAGGGGAGGCGAAAGCACAGCTAGTTCTCGCGGGGACCTGGGCTACGAATGTTAGCGAGTTCCGTTCTCCAGTTTGGTGTGAGCTTCCCAGCAGCCCAGTTGCAAAGGGAAAGCGCCATGACTCTCACCAGGTCTGATTGAAAGCAGGGGCATTCATGCAAAGAGATGTGGCTTTTCCTAACACTAAGTCTCTTCGAAAGATTTGCCGCATGGAAGACGGGGTGAGTGCTGGGCCTGCGGGGTGTGCGGGCAGGAAGTGGGTGGAGCCCAGACTCTGATCACCCTGCCTGGGATCAAAGCTTTGTCCCCTGTAAGACCCTGGGCATGTGACTCACCTTCTCCTGCCTTGGTTTCCTTGCCTATAGGAAAGGAATGGGACCGGGGTCATAGGAAATGCTGTGTGAGCGTCTGCTAGGAATGGGGATGGGTGGTGTGTGTCCCCAGCTATATTGGCCTTCTTCCCTCCCCCACACCCCAACCTCCTTGTTCTGACCCCTGGGTATCCTTGGGTGGTTCCCCAGACCATCCCTGAGTTGGCAGAGGGCACATGAAGATGCCCAGGTGCTCCCTGGCTCAATAGTAATTACAATTATGTCAGCAACTTTAAGAGACTCAAGTGCCAACCAGCATGTGGCATGGCCGCAGGCTTACCCGTCAACATCTATTAGCTGACCCTGGACCGTTCCTTGTTCTCTGTAAAGTGCTATAAAAATTAAACTTTAGCCCCTTTCCTCCTATGCAGAGGGAAGGGGCATCGGGGAAGGCTCCTCGGGGGAGGTGACTGGTGACCTGGGCTTTGAGGGGTGGGGAGGGAGCAGTTCCCAGTCAAAGACGGAGAGAGGGTCTTTCCTGCCGCGGGAACAGAATATGCAAGTGGGGTCTGTCTCCTGTGGCTGGAGTCAGCGAGGAGGTCAGGCTGGGAGGGGGTCTGCAGGGCTGGGTCAGGCCTTCGATGCCAGGCCAGCAAACTCGGGCTCTGTCCTGCAGGCAGTGGGCACCACAGGAAGTTCTAGACAAGGGAAGCCTCACCCTTTTATTTATTTTTATTTTTTTAAATATATTTTTTATGGCTTTCAGAGAGGAGGGAGAGAGGGAAAGAGGTAGAAACATCAGTGATGAGAGAGAATCATCGATCGGCTGCCTTCTGCAGGCCCCATACTGGGGATCGAGCCTGCAACCCGGGCATATGCCCTGACCGGGAATCGAACCGTGACCTCCTCGAACCGTGACCTCCTGGTTCATAGCTCGACACTCAACCACTGAGCCACGCTGGCCAGGCATGGCCTCACCCTTTTAGAAGGTTGCTCTGGCAACTCCGAGGAAGATGGACTGGAGGGAGAGGCTGGAGGCAGGGAGGTGGGAGAGGAGGTGGCTGCAGCCGTACAGGCTCTGGAAGATGCTGAGGGGAGGAGGGAAGGACTGATGGGAAGGGTGAGGTGGACGCTGGCTCACAAATGCTCCTGACTGGGGCCTGCAGAGGCGGGGAGCGGAGCCCAGGGCCCGGCCACTCCCGCACCATCTCCTCGCTGCCGGGGCCTCACACGTTGCCTCATAGGTGCTCGGTATGTGCTCATTTCATTAATGAATGAGCATCATTTAATTAGTCAGACACTGTCGGTGTGCTTGTGGAGCAGCTCGGAAGGGAACCCACCGCTGGTGCAAAAAGGCATTAGGAGGCTGTGATTAACGCGGTTTACTTTTCAGCAATTAATGCCAGCGTCTTCGGACTTATTCACGCCGGCCTTCTGAGGGCTCCAGGAGATATTTCACTTCCAGGGCAAGAATGTGTTTGAGCCTTTTCTTATCCGTAGAAAGAAGCGGTCTCTGGCGTACAGATAGATTGGAAACACGTTTGGAATCTGGGACGTGTTCCTCCCACAGGAGCCGTGGGACAGGGGTGGCTGGGCATGCAGGACGCTTCTGGGGCCCACAGTTCTGCATGATTCCCATGTCCACTCCTCTCCGTGCCTGCGCTCCGTGCTGGTCTGAGGAAGCAGATGTGACTTCATCTAGTCATGTTCCTGCTCTCAAGAGCTTCCCAGAGCGACAGAGACAGTGGCAGGGGCACACCAGTTACACTCACACTGTCAGACTGCAACCCAGTCTGCCTGGAGGAAATCTAGGCGGGCTTCGTGGAGGAGGAGGCGTTATTGCAGAGACACCCGTCCCTTCCTCTCTGTATTCACCCAGGGGATGGCACTAACCACACACAGGTATATGGCGTAGCGATTGTGTTCATGGGCCCTGGGACCAGTGGGCTGGCTTTGGATCTCAGTCCTACTCTAGTATTAGCGATGTGACCCTGGGCCAGGATTTCACCACCCAGTATGTTTCTTTCTCAATCTGAAGAATGGGGGGAAAAGAGAGTTTATGGATCAGCGTGTGGATAAGTGAACTAATGAATATGAAATGCTTGGATCCAGGCTGCTGACAGTAAAGGCTTCACCAGCATTTTGCCATTATCTGTGCCCCGTGCTGGGCAGCCTGCCCCCGAGGAGGTCATGCGGGGGTGGCAGCCATGGACACGGACCCTGTGAAATGTTTCAGCTGCCCTGACCCTCAGGCTGGCCCTTTAACTGGAGCCTGCTGGCCCCCACCCCAACCCTTCCCTGGCCTTGCAGCCTCCCCTCACCTCCCCCGTCCCCACCTAGGCCCAGTCCAGCCCACCTGCTGTCTCCACAGGTGGGCAACCTGGGCCTCCTCTTCATGCTGCTCTTCTTCATCTACGCCGCCCTGGGCGTGGAGCTCTTCGGGAAGCTGGGTGAGTGAAGCAGGCCCGGGGGGCGGGGGTGGGGGGGGTGGGGGGGTCAGGGTCTGGAGAAGGGCCTTTGGGGGGAGGCCTGAGAGCCCCCTGAGACTGTCACATCAGGGTCTTTTTACAAAATATATTTTTATTGATTTCAGAGAGGAAGGGAGAGGGTGAGAGAGATAGAAACATCAGTGATGAGAGAATCAGTGATCGGCTGCTTCCTGCACACCCTCTACTGGGGGCTGAGCCCACGACCTGAGCATGTGCCCTGACCAGGGATCAAACCATGACCTCCTGGTTTATAGGTCGACACTCAACCACTGAGCCACGCCGGCCGGCACATCAGGGTCTTTGAATTGGGGCGATGCCCCAACAGCAGGCCCTGGGGGGATGGGTGGGAGGCCCTCCGCCACCCGCACCCCTTCCCGTGTGAGTAGGAGCTTTTGAGAGGTGCGAGCCTGGGTCCACGTGCACACCCCAGGCCTACGCGTGGATGCCCACTTTGAGCCCCCACGCTGTCTGACCTCTCGAGATGCCCCCTCCGAGCCCACCAGCCAGTGCCCATCCTGGGCCAGGGCCACCCCTGCAAGCAGGACAGCCAGGGCAACCCCGGGCCAGCTCCAGAAAGCAGGGCTCCCCTGGCGGCCGGCCCGCACCCACCCCATCCTCTCCCTCTGGAACTGATACTGGAGTTGGGGGAGGAGCCAGGCTCACCTGAGCCTGAGCCCCAGCTTGTGTGCCACCTCTCTGAGCCCCAGTCTCTCCATCTGGGGGCAGGGCGCAGTCCACACGCACCAACGAGGGCTGTCGTGGGAGTTCTGAGAGGAGGCCGGCGGGCTCCGCAGCGGGCCAGCTGACCGCCTTTCCTTTCAGTCTGCAACGACGAGAACCCGTGCGAGGGCATGAGCCGGCACGCCACCTTCGAGAACTTCGGCATGGCCTTCCTCACGCTCTTCCAGGTCTCCACGGGCGACAACTGGAACGGGATCATGAAGGTACTTGTGGGCAGGCTGGGCAGGGAGAACTCAGGCTGGGTTCGAGAGCAAGGGTGCCGGTGACACCCGGCGGTCAGGCCTCCCGCCCTCTGCCTGCCCAGCGCCCATTGTACATGGGGGGGGGACAGGGCCCGGAGCAGCAGGGGGCCCTGCCTGGGGCCCAGAAGCACAGCGATGTGCAGGTGAAGCCAGAGGGGCTCGCTGTCCGCCCCTACAAGCTCAGATCAGGGCTCAGGTGTTAGGGGACATGACTCTCCCCAGGGCCAGAGCCCGGGGCAGGGGCTGCGGTCACTGCTCCTCCTGATGCCAGGCCCTGGCATTTGCTGCCCCGCCCATCACCCCACGGAGGCCCTCTGGCTCCGGCCTGGGGTAGACGGGGTGGGCTTCTGGAAGACAGAGGTGAGAGGCCTGAGCCGAGACCCTGGTCCTCACTGCCGCCCGCCCGCCTGCAGGACACGCTTCGGGACTGCACCCACGACGAGCGCAGCTGCCTGAGCAGCCTGCAGTTCGTGTCGCCGCTGTACTTCGTCAGCTTCGTGCTCACGGCCCAGTTCGTGCTCATCAACGTGGTGGTGGCCGTGCTCATGAAGCACCTGGACGACAGCAACAAGGAGGCGCAGGAGGACGCAGAGATGGACGCCGAGCTGGAGCTCGAGATGGCCCAGGGCCTGGGGCCCGGCCCGCGGCTGCCCGTCGGAGGCCCGGGGGGGCCAGGCGGAGGGGGCGATGTCGAAGGCCACCTGTGCCCGCACTGCTACTCTCCAGCCCAGGTGGGCAGGGGCTGGGGTCGCCGCGGGCGGCATCTTGGGGCGGCCAGGGACGCCGCCCAGGGAGCCTTGGGCAGAGACTTCTGTCTTTTGGGGACCCCCTGCTCAGCTCCGAGTGACCCTGTGACGAGGGGTCGGGCCCAGGCCACAGGTGCAGAGGACCGAGGGCAGCTGTGCCCCGCCCACCCCGCAGGCCCCACCAGTGATAATCCCACCTGTCCCCACCCGTCCTGTCCGCCTAGGAGAACCTGTGGCTGGACAGCGTCTCTTTAATCATCAAGGACTCCTTGGAGGGGGAGCTGACCATCATTGACAACCTGTCCGGGTCCGTCTTCCACCACTACTCCTCCCCGGCCGGCTGCCGGAGCTGCCATGACAAGCAGGAGGTGAGCTGACGCCTGCCGGGGGCTGGCCTAGGGCGGGGGGGGCGGGGGGGGGCGCGAGCCCAGCGCTGGGCAGACACTGCCCTGACTCACGATGGCCAGCTTCCAGGGACACCTGGTCTGTGGACCAGCAAGTGAACCAGCTTTGGAGCTCCCGGCTCCCGGCAACTCCCCTGCCCTTGGCCCAGCCCAGGCCTGGCTCTTCACTGGCTGTGACACCATTGTGTCTCCCCACCCCCACCCCCGCCCCTGCCTAGGCTGGGCCCCCTCCCCAGGTGGGCATGCCATCCATGCTCAACAGATCTCGGATCCTCTCTGACCACCAACCTGTGTCCTTCTGGGGGGCCAGCCCTGCCAGTCCCCGCCCCATGGGTGACCCGAGGCCGCCCCCTCTCCCTGCAGGTGCAGCTGGCCGAGACAGAAGCCTTCTCCCTGAACTCAGACAAGTCCTCGTCCATCCTGCTGGGCGATGACCTGAGTCTGGAGGACCCCACAGCCTGCCCGCTTCGCTCCAAAGACAGCAAGGTGAGCGGCCCTGTGGGCTCCTGGACAGCGAGTCTGTCCTTGCAGGCTGGCCTCCGCCCGCTCAGCCAGGACACTGCTTCTTCCCCGGGCCCCCTTTGAGCAGCGCCTGCTGTGGACCAGGCCCTCGGCTCTTGTTGGTCAGATGCGGGCAGCGGGGCTCAGAGAGGTGGAGAGATTTACCTGGAGTCACACAGCAACAAGTTCAGCCAGGACCCCAAGCGCAGCTTCCAGCGGCCTCGGCTGCTCCTTGTTGCCTTGGATACTTTGTATCTAAGTAAGAGGACCCTCCGCTGCCCTCACGGACCTCAGTGTCCAGAGGGGCGTGAACTGTGACCTGCCTGGGACATCAGAGAGGCTTCCTGGAGGCGGGGCCCTCCCACCGGGGTTTTGGAAAATGAGATTGTCGGCCAGGTGGACAGGGTGAGGAGAAGGCCATCCCAGGCGTAGAGAGCGGCCCCAGCAGAGCATGTGGGTCAGAGGCAGGAGGGCAGCATGGTAGGCCTGGCCCCTGCTCCTCCTCCACCGTCCTAACCTGTCTGCCTCCCGTTTCCCGCAGGGTGAGCCGGACCCGGCTGAGCCCATTCGCGTGGGGGACCTGGGCGAATGCTTCTTCCCCTTGTCCAACACGGCCGTCTCCTCGGGTCCGGAGACCCTCCTGTGCGAGATGGAGGCGATTGCGTTCAACCCCGTCCAGTCCTGGCTGAAACAGGAGGGCAGCCAAGGTGAGGGGTAGGCACCCCCCCAGCTGCCCGCAGCCCTGCTCTCGGGTGGCCGGCTCAGAGGCAGCTGGTTGAGTGTTTCCCTCAGTATTCCCCCCTCCCCCCCCAGACTATTACATGGAGTGGAGAAAGAACTAGATAAATAACGGACGATAAAAGATAGGAACCTCAGGTCTGACATAACAATGATAAAAGATCAAGAGCCAACTACTACTTCGAGAGGAGATAAAAATTATATCAAAGCCCCGACCAGGTGGCTCAGTTGGTTGGAGTGTCGTCCCATTCGCCAAAAGGTTGCGGGTTCGATTCCGGTCAGGGCATATACCTAGGTTGTGGGTCCGGTTCCTGGTTGAGGCCCAGGCGGGAGGCAGCCCTTTTGTAAAATGTCCTGACGTTTACCCGTTGGCCCTGCCCCTGGCATCCCGCATTTGTGCTTTGGGCTCCAGGCTTAGCTATGGGCACCAGGACAGAGGACTGAGCTGGCCTGTCCGTCACTAGGGCCCACTGTCACCTCGAGTCCTCTTAGAGGGTGACAGGAACCTGGGCTCACAGCACAGGCTGAGGAGGGGGACAGAGAGACCCGCTCAGCAGCAGAGGGGCCCCCAAGACCCTGAGCTCACTCAGTACTCTCCCGGGAGGCCTGGCACCGAACACCTCCCAGGAGCTGGGGGTGGAGCGACTTACCCGGGGACTCATCCTAAAACCAGTGGCATCTGCGTCTCATCCCCCTTTAGTGACCGAACACCTCCCAGGAGCTGGGGGTGGAGCGACTTACCCGGGGACTCATCCTAAAACCAGTGGCATCTGCGTCTCATCCCCCTTTAGTGAACCATTCGTTTGCGTTTTCCTTCAATAATGAGATGACAGAACAGAAGTCCCTGCACCTGGGGATGCTGTCCAGCCACCTTGGTTACATGTCCCCCAGTTCGTTCGTCCCACCCCCGCCCTAGGAGGCCCTGACGGAGGGGGCCGTGGGCAGAGGCCACTGGCAGGCCCCGCCGCCCCGCCCACATGTTCCCTCCCCCGCCCTCCCCTCCCCCGTCCTGGCCCCTCTCCAGCCTCCAGGGGAGCAGACCAGGCAGACCCAGCAGCATCTGTGTGCTCAGCCCATGCAGTGCCCACCTGCCTGCTGTCCTAGGCGGGCCCCAGGGCCTGACACACCACGGGGTCCGGCCGCCCTGGGGGTGGCACTCATAACATCTGCTGTGCTCCTGGGACTGGGCTGGGAACCTCTGATCTGACAACCTCCTCTCCACCCCTCACGGGAGCAGCTGGTCCCCTTTTCACAGAGGCAGGGACCAGGGGTCCTGGCGCCGAGTCCACTTGGCTCCAGAAGCTGTGCCTTTGCCTGGTGCCTGTGCTCCCAGGAACCACACGGCCAGGCTCGCTGTTCTCTCTCGCTCTCACAGTGGGGACACCGAGGCTCAGAGAGGGAGATTTGCCCATAATCTCACAGCCCGGCCCTGCCAGCCCACCCCCAGGGGCCCGCCAGCCTGAGCCTGCTCCCCAGCTCCCTCTCCTCCCTCCCCAGCGGCACCTTCGAGCCCCTTCTCCCCAGAGGCCTCCAGCCCGCTCCTGCCCATGCCAGCCGAGTTCTTCCACCCCGCCGTGTCCTCCAGCCAGAAGGGGCAGGAGAAGGGCGCCGGGGCCGGGGCCCTCCCCAAGATCGCCCTGCAGGGCTCCTGGGCATCCCTGCGGTCACCGAGCGTCAACTGCACCCTCCTCCGGCAGGTGAGGCCCCTCCCTGGCTCCGGGAGCCCCTCCCGGGGGGCATCTGAGTTCCCGCTGGAGGTGGAGGGGCAGGTGGGCGATGGGAGGTTTGGTCTGGGGGCCACCTGCATTGGATTGGCAGGGCCACACCCGGGCATGCAGAGGCCCTGCAGCCCCGAGACCCCGTTCTGTGGGCCCCGGCTCAGGGCTCAGGGCTCAGGGAGAGGCAGGAGCTGCCCAGATGGCACAGTGTGGTGGAGGCAGGGCTGGGCCCCGGGCTCCTCCGGTCAACCCCGACTGTGTGCCCCACTATGTGCTGGGCTCGAGGCTGAAGCAGCTACAGAATGTGGAGTCCCTGCCCTGGGGCTTGCATTGTGTTTAATGTATGAGTTCGGAGGTGCATAGATCAATGCCAAGATCAATGGGTAAAGAGTATATAGTCTGTTTGGTACACACTCACTGGGGAGAACATTGCACAGGAGAGGGGTCTATGGCGGGAGCAGGGGCGCTGGGAGTCAGGTGGAGGGGCTGGGAGGGCCCTGAGGTGGGAGCACGGGGGGATCTGGGATGGGCTTTCCAGGCAGCCTGTGAGCAGAGGTGGGGGGCGGTGGGTGGTGGGAAGCTTGGTGCGGAGGGGCAGGCAGGACCCTCAGGCCAGGGTCTGACTGGGTTTGAGCAGGCCACTTCCGGCTGCCTCTGGGGGCAGAGAGCAGGGTGGCGAGAGCCGGTCGGAGGCGCCTCAGTGACTGTCCGCAGAGCCATAAAGACGCTCAGGGGAAGTGGCTGAGGAAGGGAGCAGGAGGCAGGGATTAAGTGAGTAAGGAGTACTTGGATGAAAAATAAAGGGCTGTATTGAATATCTTTCAGTTTTCCGGCAGCTCGAGAAGGGACTGGGGAGAGAACAGCTATCTCCTTATTACCCTTTAG